ACATACACATCCCACAAATAAGCAATGTAAACAAACACAAACACCATGAAGCACTGAACACCAGAAACACAGTCCTGTTGACAGCACCAGAGCCTTATATAGCCTACATATTGAAGGTAATCATTTGGCCGGTGACCACCTCAGCACTTACTAAGTTTCCAAGTCTCCGGTCTCCATCTCGAAAGTGTGTCAAAGGAAAGACAGTGTTTCGAAGTTCGTGGACTCTATCTCTTACTAAAAAGCATTGGTACAACTAATAATAATTTCGTGTGGTCGCTAAAACAACATCCACAAAAACGGCTCATAGAACAAATGTTTATCGCTTCTCTGCATAGCAACACTCGGGACGAAGCCAGTCAAGGCGGTTGCTCCACTTTAAAATAGTTATTTTGCTCTTCTTTACTAGTTGAATAGGGTCAATAATGCAACGATAGTCATTTACAAAGTGGGAACGGCAGGGCGTGGTTTTCGAACGCCTGCCCTCCAGCACGCGCCCCATGCCTTCCGTCGTGCTTTGACTGCGCAGTCGAGCTCGAGGGGCGCGAGACGTCGAAGAGTTGTCAAGGATAGAAGGCTCGCGCTGGAGGCAGGAGAACGGAAGCTCCTCCCTATGGTTCTCAACTTGTCAGAGACTACTGAGAAACTTAGTGACTTTTGACATTTAGTCAAGATGTATTATGTTCAATAAAAAGTCAACAGAAAGTCTGTAGCTTTTCTTTTGACACTGGCTACAGAAAGTCAACTGAATAATTTAAACACGAAGTAAATAGAACGTCTGCAGTATTTCTGATAACACTTTCAACAGGAAGTCAACGGAAAAAAGATCCAACGTAGAGTTAATAGAAAGTCAATAGAAAATCATAAAAAAAGTTTCAACACAAAATCAACAAACTTTTTGTTGACCATGTCAACAGGAAGTCAGTCGAAATAAAGTAATTAAAGTGAACAAGAAGTCAACACATTTTCAATAAAAAGTAAAAAAAAAAGAACATCCGTCATATCGGACCCCGCACACGACCGCAGACTAAATAAAATAATAAAAAAATGTCTCTTTTTATAAAATATTATAAAGAAATAATGTCAATAGGTTTTATTTTTATATATTAGAAAATAACCTACAAAAAACGTTGTTACCACTTCTTTTTATTTTTTTTTATAAATAAGTCTACAAAACAAAATCTATTGTTTTTCCTTTTGAATTTTTTTAGAAAATAATCTACAGAAAAACGTCTTTACAGGTTCTTTTTAATTTTTTTATAAATAAGTCTACAAAACAAAATCTATTGTTTTTCCTTTTGAATTTTTTTAGAAAATATCCTATAGAAAAACGTCTTTACAAGTTCTTTTTAATTTTTTTATAAATAAGTCTACAAAAAAAATCAATATTTTTTCTTTTGAAAGTTTTTTGACAATAGTCAAAACAAAGTGCGTTTATAAAGGAATTCAATAGGATCGCGGAAAGTCAATAAGAAGTCTAAAAAAATTAAAAAGAATGTTGAGACCCGTTTTTGTAAGGGGGAGGACCCTCCCCTCCTAATCGGTCTTTTCTCTTCCTCCTTCTCTCGCCTCCTCGTTTCCTCCTCGTCCTCCTCTTACTCACCTCATCGTTGTCCTCCTCCCCTCCTCCTCCTCTATGGCCTCCCCTCCTCCAAAAGATTCCCCGCTAGATTTAGCTTGATAATTGACGCAACGCGAACTCAACATCAATTCAGTTTCCACGCTAAATTTAGTGGGGGAAATGACGTCACATGACCGTTAAACGGAACGTCTGAGCAAATTCAGTTTCTCTGCTAGATTTAGCGGGAAAAATGACGTCACGTGTCCTCAACACTAATTTAATTATCATTGTTGAGGCCATGAGACGTCAGCTTTACCGCTAAATTTAGCGGGGAACCTCAATGCCCAGTGTTGCTTTATGGGGTGTCAAAGACCTACACACCAATTCAGTTCCTTTGCTAAATTTGGTGGCATAATGCCGTAACGTAGCATAATGCAACGCGGGCGACGTCGCCGTCGGCGAAGGTGACACCGCGCTCTAAAAATCGCTATTCAATTCCATAATTTTTTCACATCTATACTGAACACCCACTTGCAACTGATATAATATTATTACATTAATTAACAGAAGTAATACCATTTGGGACATCACGAAGCAGTACATATCTTGGTATGTTATTAAAACTGGATTCACGCTTAAATATAAAAAAACGCTTGTTCTACAGCGTCAGCTGTACTGGGTTTGTAATATAATAACTGGGGTTGTGTGGATATTTAGAGAGCGTGTAGTTGGTGTTACAAGATGAGTCGACAGATGGCGCCCTCACCCAAGCAATGCGGTGGCGTAAGGGCCTCCCCCCCCCCCCCCCCCCGCCCCCCCCCCCCCCCCCGCCCCCCCAACTCTCCGAGACGAAGAAACCGGCGAACATGGCAGACGCAGATCCCGTTCACTTTTTAACCATTAAGTTAGTATTAAACTAGTTACGTTCGATAACACGCCTTCTGAAACATGGTGTCAGAAGCGGCAATAGCCAACGCTTGAGGTACGACCGCCCCGACCCCGGAGGCAAGCATGAACAGGATCCCGCCGCCGCCGAAGTTTGAAAACTCCAGCAACGCTGCGGAACAATGGCGCACGTTCAAACAAGCCTTCACGCTGTACCTGAAAGTGAATGATGCCGCTGTAGCATCATCGGAAAAGCAAGACGCACTTCTTCTCACGGTTGGAGGACCAAGCCTGCTAGACATTTACAGTACTCTGGACTTCGGAGAGTGAACGCAAGCGAAACCGCACCCTGAATTTGACTTCGACCACGCTGTGAAGCTACTGGATGCGCACATTCTGCCGAAGCAGAACGAAGTGTCCTCTTGCTACGTCTTCCGCATCGTTTCTGGCCGGCGAGTGCCATACACGCATGCTTCCGCATGCGAGTACAACTCCCCGTGAAGAGGTTCGACACTTTTCTGACCGACCTGAGGCTGAAAACCCGCGACTGCAATTTCGGAACAGAAAAGGAGGAAATCGTGTGGAGTAAACGACGAGAAAGCACGTTTGGACATTGTGAAACTCAAGAAACTGACGCTTGAATAAGTCGTAAAGGTGTGCCTAGCGCAGGAGTTGACGAAGCTTCGAATGAAGGTGTTCAGAGAAGGCACCACTGTTGCCGAGGAATTCCACACAATAAAGCGTAGCAGCAATCGCCGCCGACAACCACGTGCCGACCGAGGGAAAGACAAACAGACTGCGTTCAAGTAACCAGTACAGAGCTGTAGATACTGCGGTAGGACTCACGAGCGTACACGACAAAGCATATCTAGCATGGAACGAAACCTACAACAAGTGCAAGAAGCAGAACCATTTTGCAAAGGTATGCAAAAGCACCAAGACCATCTCCAGTGTGGAGGAGCATGACGACGACGACTCAACAGAAGAGATACTCACGGTGCAGGACGGCAAAGCAAGCTCGTTATTTGCAACCTTGATTGTCAGTGAAAGAAAAGTCAAGTTCCAAGTGGACAGTGGAGCTGCAGTGAATGTTATCAACCACAAGAGTGTGACACCCAGGCAGATCGAGCCAATCTGGATAACCCTGCGCATGTGGAATGGCACGAAAGTCATCCCATCTGGCAAAGCAAGGTTGAAGGTTACTACAGCCAACGGGCAGAAACACGTCGCTGACTTCATTGTGGTCCGTAACGACTTCACACCCCTCATAGGACGGAAGACAGCTGAACTGGTCGGGCTAATCACGGTTGACTACGACCTGGTTGCCAGCGTTGGAGAAGTGAATTCAAGAGACCACATCACGAAGAGGTACCCCGATGTATTTGGAACCTCTGTAGGCTCCCTGCCTGGACCCGTACACCTTGTGGCCAAGCCAGCGGCATGTCCCAAAGCAGTAACAAGTTGCCGAGTCCCAGTAAACATCAAGCCTCAGCTCGAGACAGCTATAAGACACTTTGAAAAAAAACAGGAATCATCAGTAGTGTTACTGAACCGACACCTTCGGTCAGCCGAATGGTCATCGCTACAAAGAAATATGATGAAATGAAAATCTGCATTGATCCTCGGGCTCTCAACGAAGCCTTAGAGCGGGAGAGGCACCCCTTACCGATCCTGAATGACATTCTGCCTGAAGTCACAAAGGCAAAGATATTTTCGAAGTTGGACCTACGAGACGGGCTACTGGCAATGTGCCTTGGACGAAGAACCTAGCCTCTCCACCGCCTTCCAGACACCAACGGGACGCTACAGGTGGCTACGCCTCCCATTTGACTCGCTGTCAGCAGCGAAATCTTTCAGAAGAGACTGAAATCAGCTCTCGATGCACTGAGGGGTGTGGTGTGTGTGGCAGATGACATTCTGGTATATGGCATTGGCGAAACAGACGCGGAAACTCGAAATGATCATGACAAGAAGCTGGAAAACCTGCTGCAGATATGTCAGAAGATGTGTGTGCGACTCAACCGAGACAAGACGGAGCTCCATCGTTTAAGTACAACATTTCTGGGGCACCTACTGACAAAGGATGGACTACGTGTTGACCCTGAAAAGGTCAGAGCCATTCAAGAAATGCTCGCCCCCTTCCCTCCTACTGACGTCCAAGGTGTGCAACACTTTTGTGGAATGGTCAACTACCTTGCGCGTTTTCTGCCAAAGCTCTCCCAGGTCACAGAACAGCTCAGAAAGATGGTCATCAACAGTGAACCATGAGCAAGAAGCGATGAAGAAGACAACGCGTTTCAAGAGACAAAGAACTTGGTAGCAAGACCCAGTGTTAGCATATTACAACCCACAGAAACCGCTGGTGGTACAATGCGATGCCAGCGAACGTGGCTTAGGAGCTGCACTCCTTTAAGATGGACAGCCATTGTCCTTTGCGAGCAGAGCTCTTGCGCCTACTTAAGTGAAGTATGCGCAGATAGAGGAGGAGATGCTTGCCATAGTCTTCTCGTTAAACAAGTTTCACCAGTACACTTTCGGAAGATTGACGACTGTAATCATGGACCATAAGCCACTAAAAGCCATCGTGAAGAAGCAGCTGGACCAAGTTCCGAGAAGACTGCAAGGGATGATCCTGCAGACTCAACGCTACAACATCGACCAACAGTACCGACCAGGAAAGAAACTTCTGCTTGCCGATACAATGTCACGAGCATTCTCGCCAGACGACCTATGCGAACAGCAGCTGGAAGACATCAACGTGGTGAACCACCTACCTGTGCGAAAGGATACTGCAGAGAAGATCCGCCACGCAACCCTGAGGGATGACACCTTGCAAAAGCTGACAATAGTGATCAGAACAGGATGGCCACAGGAAAGGCACAATATCGAACCAGAAGTCAGGATGTACTTCCTTTTCCGACCCGAACTTGACCTGGAAGATGACATCCTATACAAGGGACAACGACTGGTGATCCCAAAAGCACTCCGTGGAGAGATGAAAGAAAAGCTACATTCATCACATATGGGTATCGAAAGCACTCTACGACGTGCACGTGACAGTATTTTCTGGCTGAGCATGAATGCTGAAATCAAGGACCACATATCAGCCTGTAATGTGTGTCAGAAACATGCACCAGCGCAACAACGAGAGACGCTGGAACCACACCCGAGACCAGACTTCCCGTGGGAACGTGTTGGATGCAACATACAGGAACACTACAGCAAGCACTTCCTAATCACAGTGGACTATTACAGCAACTTCTGGGAGGTGGATCAACTGAGCTCGTTAACATCTGCCCATGTGATACGCAGACTGAAAGCACACTTCGCAAGACACGGCATCCCAAGTGTTCTGATCACGAACAATGGCTCACAGTTTGCTTGTGAAGCGTTCAACAAATTCGCGATCCTTTGGAACTTCGAACATGCCACGTCCAGCCAACGATACCCAAGATTGAACGGTATTGCTGAGTCTACCGTGAAACTGTCAAAATGCTCTTAAAGAAAGCAGACTAAAGCAATGGCGATCCTCAGATGGTATTCCTTGACCATCGTAACACGCCGTTGCAACAGATGCATGCAAGCCCTGAACAGCTCCTCATGGGTCGACGCAGACGCACATGTTTACCAACGACAACCAAGCAGCTGCTGCCAAAAACTGTCAGTGCCAGAAACCAGTTGGAGCAGAAGAAACGAAGGATGGTTTTCTACGACGACGAACGGGCCAAAGACCATCATCCTCTGAGCATGGGACAAGATGTGATGGTTTTCCAAACCAAAAAAGCATTATGGACAAGGGGAACCATTAAGGAACAATGTGGTGAGAGCTCATACAAAGCACAGGTCAGTGACGGCGTGCTACGACGCAACAAAGTGCACATTCGAGATGCACCCAGTTGCCAACAAGCTGAAGCAGATGTTTCCACTTCTCAGCACGATCGTGAGCACCACAGAACACCCCAGCTTGAAAATTCCCCTCAGCGCCAACCACACGCGACACCAGCATCCGAGACTTACGAGCCTGACCACCAACTCGCCCTAATCCGTACCCCTACGCTCCCAAAGAGAACAGCAGCTCTACCAAAGAGGTAGCAAGACTTTAGTGTGGGGTACTTTACTGTGGTGCTTCAACAATGAAAGATGTTACAAGATGAGCCGACAGATGGCGCCACCACCCAAGCAATGCAGTGGTGTACGGGCCTTCACCCTCCCCCCCCCCCCCCCTTACGACTCCCCAAGACGACGAAACTGACGAGAATGGTGGATGCAGATCCCGTCCACGTTGGAACCATTAAGCAAATATTAAACTAGTTACGTTCGCTAACACGCCTTTTGAAAAAGTTGATCAGGGTTGCGACGTGTCACTTGCTGTAGATGTGCAATTTATCCAGTGCAGTACAACCTGGGGCCTGAGGTCTTTAACGTGCACCACGCATTAGTGATACACGACAGCACGCCGGTGCAATCCTCATCCAGAACGAAACAGACAGGGTGCGGATTGAGCCCAGGATCCCTGAATTCTGCAGCGCGAGCTTTCGGTCCACGTGCTCCGAGCTGGTGTGCGCCAGTTTGACTACGCTACCGCTGCCGCAATGCATCGAGGGAACTTTGGCCTTTCTGCACCTGCGACAACCCCGCTGGAGCTCTGCGCGTGTGGAGCACGAGACGGCACGAGCCCTCGCATGCACGGCCGTCTGCCTCCTGTGAACTAAAGTTATGGCGGTGTCACGCATGCGCCGAACGCTCAGTGAGATCGGTCTATTGGGTTTGTACTGGGCGACTGTCGTGGTGCCAAAGGAGGACGGAGCTCGCGCGCATTTATGGCGGGTGGCTTTGGCGCCAGGAGAATGCGAGTACAGGAGTGCTACGCAATACTTTGCACACTTAAGCTGAGACTGGAGCCAAAGTTACAAGAGCGCGCTAGACCGCGCTCCTGACTTTCAGACGTGCATTTCTCTCGCAATAGACCGATCTCACCAAGGGTTGAGATCGGTCCACAGTTCGTAGGAGGCGTCTGCCTCCTACGAACTGTGGTTCGTAGGAGGCAGACGCCAGTTCACGAGATAGCTCATGCCGCCTCGAGCTCTGCTCCCGCAGACTTCCAGCAGGGTTGTCGCGCGTGCAGAAAGACTACAGCTCCCACGATGCATGTTGGCAGCGGTGGTGTACTCAAACTAGCTGGTGAGATCGATCTATTGCTCCTTCTGTGGAGGAAATTTTCAAAGTAGCGACATCGAGCTCTCGTGCTTGTGGCATTGACTGCACTTTAAGCTTAAATGAGTCATAAAATCATATCAGGTTGGAACGCTAATGAGTTTACAGAGGCGTACCGGTTCTACTCTTGCCCTTGTATACTAGTACAGTGTTCTAGAGGGGGTTGTAGTGGCAAGAGCGGCGGCCGCTTTGTGAAGATTTTGCGCGTAGACGACACCATGGCGCTGCTGTTCTGTGTCCTAGGAGCGTGCCCCTGTCAGCCCCATCATCAGCGCTGGCGGCGCTTACTACTGTGGTTTGACTGGAGCTTTTCGCGGTGGGAAACAACTGCTAATGTTGTTCTGTATACTCTGCTTCACCTCATGATGTACCGCAGGAAAGGCTACAAGCGCGAGCTCCTTGCTCTGGGGCACATCTCGGCGGCACAAGCTCTCGTGAATTAAGAGCAGCTGCCAACGCTATGAGCTCGCGCTTCTAGCCTTCGCTGCGGTACAACATGAGGTGAAACGAAGTATAGTAAATTGTAGTTCTGCCTTTAGACTAATGCCTCTAGAGTGTGTGCTTCCTCCACTTGAAATATTCGCGTGTTTTGAGGGAGATTATTTAATTAATATCGACTCCTCCCCCCCCCCGCCCCCCCCCCCCCCCCCCCCAGTACTGGCACATCGTTCAACAACGCTATCACTTGGGCTGCAGGCTTAATAGCTGCGAAAGAAGTTCTACGGTGCTACATTCTGGAGAAGCGTAGCGCGCAGTGGTACCGCGTCACCCTCGTCCTTTTCTTCGTTCATTGCACACGTGCCATTAATTCTCCTAGGGCACAGAACTCCAGCGCCACTCGCGGTATCTACGTCGACCGTCTTCACGCGCTTCATTGTAAGCGGGCGCCGCTCTTGCCACTACGCCCTCCAGAACACTGTAATACTAGCATGGACTGCCACTGATTCAGTAGTTTCTTTGTTGCGGTAAAACTGCGAGAATAAGAGAGTCCAATTTCTTTAGTCATTCCTTCACAAAGCTTCATGACGTAATTGTGGGATCTGAACCACCCGCCTGACGACCGTCGACCTCGGCTCATTAATTGGATAAGAGAACTGCGTGAGCACTGGTTTTCGACTCGTAACAATCAATGCCTCGGCGGACACTCAGGAAATGGCTTCCGTCCAACAACTGCTGTAATGAAAATGGCAAAACTCTCACAATTCTTGGAGTTCAGAACGCATTTTTTTATTTCACCTACTCCAGCGCGTGACTGAGATTAACATAGGCGCCATGGGATAGGCACCAGTCCACGTGGGTGCTTGTTCAGCCTCCGAGTTAAGGGGATGGACGGTGCACGTGTACTTCTGAATTATTTGCCGACTGCAATTGCTTAGAAAACAAAAACTATGGCAATGTTATTCGGTTATTAATGTTAGAGAGTGAATCTGCGTGGTATTTAACGACATAAAAAATAGTTTGATATATCTTTGAAGGGTAAATGGAGTGCAGAAACTTAGTCTTAGATAAAACTCCGTCTTTGAAAGATTTCCGAATTCGTAGTGCAAGAGAGTTTGTTTCTTATCGTCACGTGTCACTGACTTTCGGCACTAACTTTTGCAGTGCATTATTCTTACAGTCCTTAAGGGAAGGTGAAGAGGTTTTTGAAAAGAAAACAAAAACGAACAAGAGGTTAGTTTAGATTATTTTTATCCTCTAAATGCTTCGATTAGTCGTTACGTCCTAATGGACCAATCTCACCAGCCAGTTTGACGCCAACGCTGCCGCAATGCATTGGGGGCACTTTAGTCTTTATGCACGTGCGAAAACCTCGGTGGGGCGTGTTTGTCGCGCGTATGGAGCAGGAAACGGCACGAGCCCTCGCATGCATGGCCGCCTGCATTCTGTGAACCAAAGTTATTTCGGCATCACCCATGCGTAGACCGTTTAGCGCGATAGGTCTATGGGATCTTTCGGCTGCCAAGCGCGTGTCGCCATTCCCCTGCACTGACACCGGTCGTGACGTTCTTTTGTGACCTTTTTTTTTTTTTTGAATATTGCAATAGTGCGCGTACACAGCTTTCATAGGAGCTGAAGATGCGCGAGATAGAATATTACGAAAATTACTACTACGGCGTCACACTCCAGGAAGATGGGGCTTCAGTGGTACTTCGAAGATATTTTTTGTGGAGCCCCCGTGTAACCATTTTGAAACATAATCTCGATATTCGCGATTTAGGAGGCGAAAGGAAAACGACTTAAAGGGACACTGACAGGGTATTTATGCTCGCCGAGGTTTTTAGTCGTACGTAACATATGAGAGCTCAACTACCCAGAACAGAATTTGCGGCTCGAAATTCGGTATCTTTCCGCCCGAAAACCGCCGATCAAGAACTGGCCGGTTCGAGTCTCGCTCACTCTCTTTTTCGCGGTCACGGGCCGTTTTCTAAGGTATCGATGCGACCCCCAAATTTAATCAAAGTCGTGGGTCACTGAAGGCACACACTCAATATTAAAAATAGAAAAAAATATGAAACCCATTTTTTGTGGCTTCTAAAAAGCTGTAAATACGTTGATTGAAAAAAAAAAAGTTCCACAAACAACCGGAAGCATTCTGTGCGTTCGTTGTTTCGCGTATCGTGGGACTCGCGGGGACGGTGATGGCAGCGGACGACGGGCGTGGGACCTCTATTCAGAACTGTCGTTCGCGGTACCGGCGAATTCTGTCTACCGTTAAAAGAGAAATTTGGGACTGATCAAAAGAATTGGTATTCATCCCGTACGACACGCCCGGCCACCAAGCCGATTTGCACGAAGACGTCGCCGAGCCGTCGCTCCCTTCTCGTGGCTGAAGACAACGCTCGCGCAAACGTCAAGCAGGACGTGTCTACTTCGAGTTGAATATGCACGCGTACGATTTCTTTACTAGGTGCGAATGTCCCCAAAGCATGGTGCTTCCCGACTTCGACCCGGGAGTGCTTTTGCTAGAGAAAAATCGACTGCAAACTTTCCAACTTACAGTTTACCGGCTGATTTATTACTAAGGAAAGAGATCCACCAGAAGAGAGATGCCCCGGTAGCTCGGGAGAAAGAAGAAGACGCCGTTCGAAACGGTCGCTTTTCGATGCTCTCCAGTGAAAATACACCGGCCACAGGCCGGGGAATTACTGAGGCTTCGGCCAGAACCACTGACATGACGACTGAAGAGTACCGGACCGTCCTACCCCGCCTACCTACAGGTAATTTGAGCCTCAATTCGGTATTTCTGCACGGAGATCTGGCAGCGAGGCCATACAGAGCACCGGACTT